GGAGGTTGTGTCGGCTGCCACAACTAGTGCATCACAGGGCAGAGTATGCCCCGTGGTTGCACGACATCTGCGACGGGAGGTAAGAGTGGAGGAGATGGGAAAGGAGGAAGCAAGGAGGAGGCAGAGGCAACAACTAGGGCTTGGGTTGATGGTGACGCATCGTCGTCGGGCTTCTATAGCCAGGGACTGATGTAGCATGGCGGCCATCGCGACAGCCACCTGAGAATTCACGACAAGTGATTGGCGGTCATGTCCCCACACTAACTGGTGATTAATCGGAATGCGGAAGTGCGTGTACAGGTGGCGAGCTGTTTCAAACCCGACCATGGCACGAGGAGGAAGAAGTTGGAACTTCCTCCCGCGCTGGCGGTTGGGTTTGGAGCAAGCTCCATACTGGCCAACCACAGCCTCCAAATATTGAGACTACAAGATAAATTATACTGATTGGCAGCCATTCATTTTGGATCAAAATCGTCGTGTTGACCGTTATTATGACGATTGGGACCATATGGCAACTCTCTACTAAAGTTGCTCTAATACTTTTGTTTTCTCCAGTGATGTGTCAAGCGCTCTTGATGCTAATTCCAGTAGTTTCACAATCAACAAAATTCAAGGGTACTGTAGTGATCTAAACGTTGTTATTTTTGTTTACAAAGGGAGTACATGACAAGTAAAATCATAGTTTTCCTATTAGTTTTTTACAAACCTATGAATCGAAGAGGTTGTGATGCGGAGCATCCTACGTTCATCCCCATGTACACTCCGACTACTCTCCAATCCCCAAGAGGACATATGATGAGACCTTGAACATTCGCCATTGGACACAAGGTGAACTCGCTTCTCTCCGAACTGTCACTTTCCACATGTGAGATATGGCTACTACCTCCAACGTGTGTGCTATGCATGACCAGAAACCAAGAGGAAGGCCATGTAACAACTATGAGCATTGGACAAGACGGCGAGGACACCAAGCGCGAGGAACAAGAGGAAGAGCTGCCAGGAAGCTACAACTCTCGGACGTCCGACGACCTCCGGATGACAAACAATCTCCGGACGTCCGGCGCCTGGAGACTCCACCAGCCAGATCGACTCCAGCCAAGGCATCCTACAGCGCCCGGACGACCGGCAGACACCGGATGTCCGACACTCATCAGCGCCCGGACGACCGACGCCGACCGGACATCCGACACTTCCAGACCAGAGCCAAAACATCGGAAGTCCGAAGACTTCCGGACGACCAGACGCCCGCGAGCGACCGGACGACTAACAGCCATCGGACTTCCGACGCCTGTCTACGCACAGAGACCGTGCCCGAGGCCCATGTATCTCTCTCCCACTTACCCCTTCATGGACCTAGACTATATATACTCCTCCACCTCCTCCTAGTTAGGGTTATAAAAGGATTAGCTCATTTGAGAGATAGAGCTTTGCTCATTCACTTGGTTACTTCTCCATTGGAGTCCACGGCCTCTTCGGAGAAGATCCCCCAAGCGGATTCAAGACCCCTTCATGCGAAGGCCCCTTAAGACCTCCTCACGGAGAAGAACTACCGCCACTTGTATCGTCCTTTGTCGGATTTGGATCGTGTATCTCTTTGTGTTTCGAGGATCTAGCACATGTGTAATCAAATCTTGTTGGTTTGAGTGATTTCGCTCCTCGTGTTTTCCTTCGTGTTCTTTGTGTTTCTTGTGGGATCCGCTCCAATCGTGAAAGATCGGGCATCTAGGGTTCTACCCTACTCATCTTGGATTAGAGAAAGGTTGATCACGAATTTGGACCCCCTACCCCTTGTTTTTCTAGCCTAATTTTGTTGTGTTCTTCCGTAATTTCGAAAATCCCCATAAAAAATAGCCCCAAATGTTTTTTGTGATTTGTTGGTTTGATGATGTTTTGTTGATTTTGATCCATGGATTTGCTTGGTTTCGAGTGGATCTAGCATCTCCCCAAGTTTCCCCACTTTCCATCCACAAAATCTCATCAATTTTGACCCCGAAATCCCCATTTTCCGCCGAAAATCACGTCGAGTTGACCCAGACCCACCGGACGTCCGACACTTTACCGGACGACCGGCCTGTCCGCAACACCGGACATCCGACCCTTACCGGATGTCCGACACCACCGATCCAGTACCAAAACATTGGATTTCCGGCCATTTCCGGACATCCGTTCCACGCTCCAGCCCTTGTAAGTCCGACGATCACCGGCCGTCCGACCCTTCTCGGACGTCCGACACCTGTAGATTGAGA